AATACCAATACGGGCTTACAGTTTAAGGCTCGACATTGTGGACATTGTGTTGTCTACGATTAGACAGCTGATAACTCATTCCCGTACGTCGTATGGTGGTAACACTATAATGACCTTTGCTTATTGTCACAAGTGCGCCGCATTCGCGATTGTTGCCCGACGCCTGTTTGCAGGTGAGCCCACTACAGTTGTTATACATATCTAAAAACCGATAAACTTTTAGGCGAAAAAGGCACTATTCCAGGCCTATTTTTGATTTTTTTTTTTGCGATATTAGGTAAAAACAGAAGCTTCTTATCCTAGGAAAAATAAAATGGGAAATCTTTCAAAGGTGGCACACTACCTTTAAAGGGACTATCCCACCTTTAACATGGGGTTTGAGTTGAGATAGCCAAGTTTGCGGCGAGGTTCAGAAACCACTATCTATCTATAGGTTTCAACCCCCGCGGCCTCTTGGTGTTGAAGAAATTCGTTCCCTTCATTTGAAAATGGGCCTTGTACAAGGCCCTATCTTCAACATGGAGCGACCGTTAGTGTGACGTCACCTCGTTTAGTCATTCTGATTTAACCTTCGCCCCAGTGGGGGGGGGCATATGTTACCACCCTGTCGCGTTTTTTTTCGTATAAATAAAAAACTGCGGCGCGTAGCGCCGCGCCGCTTAGGGTAGCTTTTGGTACATCAATTTTGGACAATGTGTGAAATTTTTGACCCCAGGTCATGTCAGGTCAGGTCACTAGGTCAATTTAACCCGCGCCCTGCTGGGGGTCCTGGATTTCCACGCCCTGCTGGGGGGGGGGGGTGTGTTTGAACACCCCCCCTTGTAACTCGGCTCCTGGGCCACGTAGCGATACGCGGAAGGCGGCGTTCGAAAGAGCGTCAAAAATAATGACGAAATCACTTCGGTCAATTTTTTGGTCAGGTCAAAGGTCAGGTCACCAGAGGTCATTGAAGGCAAAATTTCGCCGATTTCCAGGTCGAATGTCGAAAATTTCCAAGAAGCCAACGCATAACTCGGGAACCAATAGAGCTACAGCGCCGCGGAAAAGCGCATTCGATAGCCCTATTAACGCCCTTTCTGAGTAATTCTCTCAGATTTGACCTAACGTCAACGGTTTTGCCTGCAGGGGGCAAAAACTGCAAAAATAGCCGATTTTTTCGAAAACAGTTTTTCTGCAATAACTTTTGACCCAAGCCTTGTACGAGCTTACTTTTACCGGCATCGTGTTCCTCTCGTCAAGACGCATCGAATGAACTATAACTTGACCTTGAAAGGTCAACTTGAAAATTTGACCTCAGGTCAAGGTCATGACCTGACCGGAAAGGGTCATGTTGCATATCAGTCGATCCGTATCGTCGAGCTGAACACATCTAAGGCGTTTTCATTGCTCTAGCATGCCTCTATCAAAAGTTATTTGCGAAAAACTGTTAGATACCATTCGTGACCTAAGATGACCTCAGGGCATAAACAAGGGTCACGGACACCATTTTCAAGTTCAGTGTGTCTAAACCACTTGTAATTCGGTGTTTGGGAGTGTTTATAATGTCTTTCATCCAAAAGAGGCGCATTTCAATTTTCTCCCATTGACTTATAATGGGGAGGTCGCAAAATTGACCTGACCTTAGGTCATCGATATCAAAATTCTGAGATATACATTTTGTACATGCTATTGCTCTTAGCAATCGCTGAAAGTTTCAAAGCGATCGGTCACTCGGTGTAGCTATGACAGACATTGAAAGTTTTTATGAGGTGAGGTCACTTCAAGTGACCTGGTGACCTGACCTTGAATGACCTTGGTCTGAAATTTTCACAACATGTGTAGAATTGATGTATGATAAGGTGTACCAAAAACGGCGGCGCTCCGCGCCGCCGTTTTTGAGATATTCGCGAAAAACCACAAGGGGGGGTGTTCAAACACCCCCCCCCAGCAGGGCGCGGGTTAACTGACCAAGCCTAAAAAAAAGTTTGCAATCATGTCCAGCCTGCAGTGTTTGTCAGAGAGGTTTCAAACTTGGTGGATTACATAATGTTATGGGTGCCTACAATTTGTATATCTCGGATTTTTTATATGCGTGACCTAAGGTCAGGTCAGTGGCGTGACCTTTCCATTATAAGTCAATGAAGAAAAACGAAAATGCCTCTAGATCCGTGTGTACGCATAGGAACAGTCCAAATATTTCAGGATAACAATGATTTGGACCACCCGTGACGACCAAGGTGTCTTTTTTGCTGATAGCCTCTTGAAAGGTCATCCGAGGTCATTTGAGGCTACAAACAGTTTTTTGCCAATAACTCTCGATTGGAACGAGATAGAACGCTGGGGTTGGCCTCATTGTGTTTGTCTTGCCGAGACACATCGACTGATATGCAACATGACCTTTTTCGGTCAGGTCATGACCTTGACCTGAGGTCAAATTTTGAAGTTGACCTTTCAAGGTCAAATTATAGTTCATTCGACGCGTCTCGGCGAGAGGAACACGATTCTGGCATTAGAAATGACCTAGCTTTTTTTAGTCAAAAGTTATTGTCGAAAAACACTTTTCTTAAAAACAGCTATTTTTGGAGTTTTTGCCCTCTGGAGGCTAAACCGTTGACCTGAGGTCATTTTTGATGATGACCTTATCAAAAGAAGAGTTCAAAAGCTATCGATTGCTTTTCCCAGCGTTTTTCTAGCTATCATAGTTCCTGAGATAATGACATGTTTTCTGAAAAATATAATGACAATTCGCAAATTTTGAGCTTTGATGACCTCTGGTGACCCCAATATTGCTGTAAGATGAAAAATGACCGAAATACTTTCAAACGTACGCATCAAGAGCTATCGACTGCTTTTCACCGCGTCTTTCTAGCCCTCTTAGTTTTTGAGTTAGAGGTGGGTGGTAACATATGCCCCCCCTCACTAGGGCGAAGTTGGCGGAGACCGCCACTGGGGCGCGGGTTAAATGGGTTTGTTCGTTGAAAAATCGCTTAAAACTTGGTCTGAACTTTGTTGTGGTGCCTACAGAGTAAAAAGAATCAGCTTTATGACAGTAATGTGGCCTGGGGAAGGAGGTAATTTTGGGCTGTGACGTCACATATTTGAAAGTTTGTGTTGTTTGTGTTTTGTGTGGAATATGGGAAGCCTAAGATGTTTAATGAAAAATAAATGCCAGAACCTTGTTCCTGGTCATCCAATCTATAAAGTCGGGCACAATTTAACTGGTTTTAACAACATTTTAGAAGGTGGGATAGTCCCTTTAAATTGAGCTCAAAGATTTCACGCAAGAATGAGATGGATGAAGCATAAGTAATGCCAACTGTGCGGCGCCTCGTGGACGTAAAAAATTAGCGGATCACCCCCCCCCCCTCCCGGTGACGGATAAATGTTATGTCCCGCGAGTGTGACTTTGGCCCCCCCTTTTGCTAGCGGCTGCGACCGCCAGTGTATCCCTCGAGGTCTTTACAAGATAGACTGATACACCCCCTGATTCGGGTCACGGATTAGAGAACTGCTGATTGCTTGACACGCAACCCACGGACCTACGAGGGCTTTCGAAAAAGAACATATCTTACAAAGATAACGGTCAAGAGTCAAGTGGTCATAGGCGGCGCCCGGGCGGCGGAACGGGGGGCACGGCACCGGGGGTGCCCCCTTTTGATTTTGGCATTTTGAAATTAGCCCTATGGGCGTTGCATGGAAAGAATGGGACAAAAAGTCGGCAGTGCCCTCCCCCCCCCTTAATTGAAGGTGTTCCGCCGCCACTGCAAGTGGGCTGTTCAGGACTATTATTTGAAAATATAATAAGAACAATGTCTATTTGGCTTGGGGTTTGAGAGCTAGGAGTGTCTTAAATTGCTGGCTTGTGTCTTACCCCTTGCCCTCGTGCGAAACGAATTGGCTACTCAGACCGGTCCAGAAGCCGCCTACCTGATTTTTCCTGTCCCTTGATGGCCGGTCGCTGTCCCAGGCGATTCTGGGTTCGGTCGGGTCACTGCCCTCTGTTGGCCGGCCACTTTCCCAGGCGATACATGGGCTCCATCGGGTCATAACAGTCAGCGGGGTCGAGCCTCTTCCTTCGAGCGCCTGCCAATGTATTTACAAATGGGCACAACACATTTTTTCAACACATAAGTGACATACATGATATATATTTCATTTACAGCATCATATTTTGCTCAGCATGCAATAACGACCGCATAAGTCAGCAGCTGCCTACGACGAGTCCTTTGCAGGACACTACAGTGTGCCAGGCGATAGCAACAGAAATATCGGTATCTCTATGTCATTTGTCACTCATGATATCAATACAGACAATACTCGGGCTGAATTCTTAAGCCTAGATACATACACACGTACTGTCATTGGGTCACAAGACGCAGGCATCAAACAAAGCAGGATCGCTAAACAAAATTGATGTCTGATCGTATCAATACCGTCGGTTATACACTCAGTACATCCCTTCAAAAATCGGAAGTCCAAAACGACATCATTGACGCCAGCACAATAATCTTCCAATATAGTAAGCTACAACTGAATGTTTATTTATACACAACGACATAAGCATCTGCATTCTCCAATGCATAAAAAATATGAATCATAAATGCTTGATGAACAAACGCCGCAACTACTAAAAATATAATCTATCAGGGTAGTCAAGGCGCGACACCAATCTTATCAACTCTGCTTGCATGTCCTGTCACAGCTAACTTCACATCAAGGGACCAGTCTGCTATCACTACTGGATACAATGTTTATGTTCTTCTAAAGCGGATCACTTGCACATTTGGACGGTCGTACCTAAAGCGAAGCGTACGTCTATGCGATGTCACAACATATTCTCTGAGCTGAACTCTTTCAACTCTCGTGGTGGTGATTTATCATAAAATCAATTCTGTGTATATGCATTATGCAATTTTCACTTAAATTTCTAAAAGGCCGTTCCAAGTTTAAACGTGCGTGATATAAAATCTATACATGTAGCCGTTTGATCTATTCCTAGATCCCATAGTTATCTAGCGTCCCTAAACCTCACTACCCAACGGAACCTCAACATGTGGCGCGCGCATTTCACGCGCCACCTGCATAGCGCGCAGATCGCGTTCCGGATGCTGATTCCGGGAGTCCTGTCGATCCATTGGCTGGCCAGGAAGAACAAGTCTCTTATCCGGTACAATGGTGGCCTCGCTCTCGCTTTGTGATCGCCTGTAAGGAGTCCGGCCGCCAGACCTTCTCTGCGGTAGGGATCCTCCCTTTGTGCTGAGGTTCTGTACCACAATGTAGCCCCCGGGGTGTTGTGCCAGGGATGCGGGTGCCAGGGATGCGGCCAGGGATGCGGGTACTCGGGTGGTGGAAGGGGGCTCCTGTTGGAGATGGTCCTGCGAGCTAACCCCCGAGTCTTCCGTTCCACGGCCAGCTAATGAACTGGAAGGCTCAGAGCTAGTATGCCTATCCAAGACACCCTGAGCTGGAGTAGGGTAGTACTCCGTTTCTGAACGGAGCTCCACTTCTTGGAGCAATTCCTGCGAGCTAACCCCCGAGTCTTCCGTTCCACGGCCAGCTAATGAACTGGAAGGCTCAGAGCTAGTTTGCATATCCAAGGCACCCTGAACTCGAGTAGGGTGGGACTCTTTTTCTGAACGGGGCTCCATTTCTTGGAGCGAGCCTTGCGAGCCAACCCCCGAGTCGTTCGTCCCACTACTGACGTGTGACTCAGAAGGTCCGGCGCTAACACGGCGATCCCTGACGCCTTGGGCTGGCGCAAGGGGGCATCCCACAGCTTTTAACAGGGACTCCATTTCTTGGAGCAAGTCCTGCGACCCAACCCCCGAGTCGTCCGTCCCAGGACTTTCTGACTCGGCGGGCCCGGCGCTGTTTCTGACACCCTGAAGTGGTGCCTCGTGAGACATGTCGCAGGCCATGACTCCAGCGCCCGGATCTTCGTGGTCATCAGGGTTGTGTCGTTCACGCTGACATGAGTCGTCGCTATGCATGCTGCTCAGTCTTTTCACTGCCGATCGCCAGTGCTTGCCGTGTTGCCGAAGGAATTAGGAATAGTTATGACTAGCTGTACCAAAACGAGAAGTAGAAGTGTAAGAGTGACTGTCAGCAAGGCGGCGACCCAAGCAGAGGATATGTGAACTTGTGTTTGGTCAAAACCTGCTTCTGCGTAATACTCACCTGGGGTCCCCGTGTTGGAACTGATAGTAACGCTAATATCAGGGGTGGTACTGGTCAGCGTAGTGGTCGTTGACGGGTCTGAACAGAACTCTAGCTGATACTCCCCCAAATTGGGCCAGGTGCCGTTATTTTCACAACGGACATGAGGAGGTGATATGCTTCGTCTTATGCGAGCATCATCCGCGTTTGCCATGTCAGTGAGGCCTAGAGCCTTCGTCATATCCGACGAAAAGCAAGTACAAGGAATACCAACCTCAAGTCGCAACATGAGAATGCTTTGTCGGTGATCAAATTGCATTGAGCCGTTCTCAGGTGCCACAACCACCAGGTCTTCTACTCTGATTCGGTCTTCGGCTTTGCCGTCTAAGTCGAGAAGGACGAAGGCATCCGTTTTCAGAATGTTGATGGTACAGTTTTTTAAATTGATTTGTTCAGTAGCATGCACTTTCAGCGCTCTGCCGGACACTTCCCCAAAGGTACTTTTTATAACTGAGAAGTTGGCTACATTCACTGTGACACCTCCTTCAGCCACAGTCCCGAGGTCGCTGTCGATGATTTCCAGTTGTTCGATGTCCCCATGGATTGCCAATGGGGCGATGTGACCGATAGTTGAAGTGTCTACTAGCAGTTTCATGGACTTCTGAGTAGCTGATATACAGTTGGCTTGTGTCTTGTTGATGGACGAGTCAGTCAGTGACAGCGATTTGATCGTGCTGCCAAATGTGTGTTTGTGACATGTTGCCATACGGACATGTTTAAGTGCTAGTGTGTCAATGTCCGCCTTGATTGAATCAGGGGCAATGTGTAAATTTGGCGATCGCTCTATAAACATTTTCTGAATCGATGTTCCCGGTGCAAATGCCGCCGAGTTCAGCGAGAGAGTTTCAACGTCTTCCAAAGTCATTGTGCTGATGTTCACGCTAGAGTTGAATGCTCCGGTATCGATGGAAAGATTTTTCATCTCTGTCATCGTCACCTGATCGATAATGGACTTTGCATTGAACGCACCATGGCCGAGCTCTAGACTGGTTACTTGATGCATCTTCAGGGAATGAAGATGGGTGGAAGCGATGGCCATGCCAAAAATCCGACACGTCTCAAGTTTCTCGATAGTCACTCTTGATTTCGAGTTTTCCCACCCGGAAAATGTGTCTCTGTGCACATCCAGATTATTCACTTCTCTGATGACTACAGCGATCTGGCCTGTTCCGTTTTCACGTGCCAAAGAGCGTGGCTGAAGAGTTAACGTTTCGATGTTGTGCAGTTTCAAGATTTCCAGTGAGGCCAGGGAGGCGATGGTGTCTCTTTCAATTGTCAGCTCCTTGATGTTACGCAGCTCGATGTCACGGACAAGTCTCGGGAAAGATGTCGCTGTTAGGTTAACCTGAAAATAAAGGGAATTATCATGAGTGGTTCAGCTTCGCCGCGGCAATTACTGTTCCTAATCGGAATTTCATAATGATGGAGGGTAGTAATGTCAAGGTTGTCAATTTTTGAGCCTTCATGTTTTAAGGTAAATTACTAATTGTGCTTAGAATCAACGTGCTCTGTAGTTCCCCGTTTTTACTACGCCATTTTGCATGATAAAAATGGAACACAATAGCTACGATGCAAGTAAAACATATCGGCCAAAAACACTGACATGCCTTGATAGAAATTCGACGATCCTCTATCCTTCCATTGACGGAAACTTTTTGCCAGCAATCCAACGAAAAAGGGAAAGTTTCACAAATATTCGAAAGATAAAAGAAACTTGTAAATGATGTGACACTCGGTAGAAGCTAGCTTTTTAGCAATGCCGTGTATAAATGATTTTAAGAACATTGATATCATATCATTATAATCAACATCAAATAATAATAAGAAACCGAGAAAAAAGTCCAAATAAATACCTAATAAGTGAAGTGTTTTACTCTCCAGCTCTTGATCTGAGCAATCAAACGCAAAAGTACTACGACAAAAAGTTGTCAAAGGTGATAGAGCTCTGCCATGAAATGCTGGATTCTACATTTGACAGGCTCGACCAATTCTCACCTGCCCGCGCGGCCGGTTCTTCAGATTGCAGTAGACGTTCGTAAATTTTTGGCACTCCTCGGGAATGTTGAACTCACAGCTTGCATGCTTGCAGTCGATTCGAGAGGCAGTCACCGGCTGACTGATCAGAGTCGCTGTCAGCACAGCGATGGCCAAACGAGCGCCGATCATTGTGATGGACTAGTCGTAGTCGAAAGGGGAGGGGGTCTGATGGGTGCTATAAGGATTCGGTGAAGGGAAAATACGCATAATGTCTCAGAACGGCAGCATAGCGATGTTGGATGAGGCACCGCTGAACTGCGACTGAAACATATAATTCACCAACAGCGCACTTCCACATCCTTGGGGATTTAATCCGATGATATCGATAGCACTTGTGCTAATAATCCCAATCTGATAGTGAATCCAACCTTATCTCTCTTTGTGTCAATAGAGTTGTTAAGTGAAATGCTTTAAAACGATTATCTAAACCCACTGCAAGTGATATATAATACTGAACGAGGCCGGTGTAAATAAATTTTCAAGACCGAGGTCCTTACTGGATTTTTGAACGAGGCCGAAGGCCGAGTTCAAAAATCAGTAAGGACTGAGGTCTTGAAAATTTATCACCGGCCGAGTTTGGTATGTATTTTACTGTATGCCAACGATAAATTTATTTTCTGGACCGAAGCTCTTAGCCGACTTAGGAACGAGACCATCCCAAAATGTTCGCTTAAGTGCATTCTGGTAATGCATTTTTGACCGTGGTCAATTTGCTTACACCAGTTATTACCACACCCCTCTGGCTAATGTATTTGAATAGGCCAGGCATACAGTAATATTGATAACCTGCGGTCAGGTAGGGAATAGGACTTTCAACCAGCTTCGTTTTTTGGCACACCTTATCATACGTCCTTCTGAACATCTGCAAATTCCAGTTCAAGGTCGTTCCAGGTCAGGTGACCACTGACCAGGTCACGTCATGTGATCGTACCCCAGAAAAAAAACATTAGGCATAATGCTGGCCATAGGTACACCGCCCGAACGATTACTTTGAAACTTGCATCGACTTTGAAGAATATCCTTATTGATAAACGCTTTCTCGAAATTTTGCTATCGGTGACCTAAGGCCAGGCTGGTTTTGTAACATTTTCATTCTAGCCCAATGGGAAAAACTGAGCTGCGCTTGTTTTATACAAAATTCACATAATTAACACTCAAACATGGGGTAAAAAGCATATATGACACATTGAATGGGGAAATTGCACCCCTGACCCCTCTTATTAAAGTTTCCCCAGAATATGAGTCTTAGCATCAAAATTTGCTTTAAACTACGCGTTTCAACATTTTCCAATAATGCCCTTTTAGAGCTACTTTAACACACCCCTTCGTCTGCAAAACATGGTGTGGTCTTCCGTTCCGTCGTTCCCATCCTCAAGATACTCAAATTCTTCTCCTCCACAACTCAGACCCCCGATCCGGTTTGCTTGTTTGTTTGTTAGTTTTGTTTGTTTGTTTGTTTGTTTGTTAGTTTTGTTGAGTTAGGTTAGGCCCTTTCGGCCTGATGAGACCATTGCAGAGCCGGAAGGATGATAGGAATTCGGTTGAAACAATGAGACATTGACTTGGTCGAGCAGCCTGGTGCTCCGCCGTGGCTAAACAGTGAGCCCGTCGCGTGGACAGGCCCCCATCCCCCGGACAGTCACTGCACCCAGCCACTGGCCCTCTCCTGGGGAGGAACTACCCTGTACCCGCATGGGATAAAGTTATCCGCTTAGCCCGGAACAGGGGGACATGAGGTGTAGAGAAGGATTTGAATACCCTGAGAATGGAAACGACAGAATGGAGGACTGATCCGAGATGGACGCCGGTACGGTCACCTTTATCTCATGCGGATAGCTCCAACCCAGGAGCAGGGTCGTAGCCGGGTGTGGTGACCGTCAGGGGCCTGGGAGCACTGTCCACGTGATGGGCTCAGCCCCGACGAGTCACCAGGTGTCTGTCCAGGCCAATGTCTTCCCCTAATTTCTATCATCCTTCCGGCTCTGAAATTGTCTTATCAGACCAAAAGAGTCTAACCCATCGAACCAAACAAAGCAAACTTGGTGTGATTTTTGTCTATCGACCGGCGTCCCCTCACGGTTTGATCGGTGAGCACTGCGCAGCGCCGTCGGTGTTGGGCCACCGCCTGTCGACCATAACCGTCACTCACCTGCCATCCGTGACCTGCGCAACAGTCCCGCGAGCTCAGTCCTGCGGTCATGACAGGTCCCACGCCCGTCCTGAGTCTCTCACTCCTGGTCAGCGGGATAGCTGTCTGGGCGGTCACCATAGAAAATTTCCAACGAACAAATAACACCTACGTCGACACCCCAAATGCTATTGTCTCGGCGAAATCTGTTGTGGCATGTGCTAGTATCTGCAATAGTATTCCGCCGTGGGTGTGCGACAGTTTTTCGTATCACAATGGTGACTGCTATCTGTTTGACCTCACTGGAACTCAGGTTTGTCCCGATTGCTCCGTGCCTGTGCCAGCGATCCCTCCAGAATCCACATTTGAAGTGTTCAGCTACCGAAGGAAACAAACTGCAACATGTCCAGGTAAGCATGCAGCCCACGGAGGTGCTTCGAATCGGATACCGTTTCGTAGGTAACATTAAATATCAAACATCTTTAAAGCATTGCCATCTGTCTCAATGTCGTAATTACAATATCACCGGTGTATATTGTATAATTGTGTATAAGCACCGGTGAATACAAGGTATAAAATTCTACCATATAGTTAGTTATGCACCGCAACAAACAAATACCCACCTATATAATAAACTGTTCTTCACTTATAGTTATTGTATCTGCAATGGCTAAATGATATCAAAATTTACATGCCAACTGCAGCTCATGTGGACCTAATAAATTTAATCATACATGTTACCCATAGCATAGCATTTTGGAACTTTGTTGAGAAGTCTGTTTCCAGATATTGTTTTATTGAATGTGCTTTTATCATTTCGATTCACGTTTTGACTAATAAGCGAATTAACGACTGATGATCGTGCTTTCACAGGCACTTCCACAGATATATGCGCCTGTCCGGCCGGCTTCAGCCGCTGTGCCGGCCGCTGCTTGATGAAACTCCCTCAGGACCAGCTCAACTTCACCGAAGCTCAGGAGGCCTGCGGCTCACTGGGCGCCCACCTGGCCGTGCCCCGCTCGACAGCCGAGAACCAGTGCGCTCTGTCCATGGCAGTAGGGGTTGACACTTGGCTCGGGGTGTCGGACCGAGCCGTGGAGGGGGTGTACGCAGCAGAGGACGGCGGGGACCCGATCCTCCTCAGCAGTCCCTTCTGGGGCACCGGTGAGCCCAGTGACGCCACAGGCGAATTTGACTGCGTTCAGATCTGGAGTAACGCCTGGGATGACACGCTCTGTTCGTTCAACATATCCTCCATCTGCCAGATCAGAAACTGCCTCACACCCGAGTGTGTCTAGAACGGTATTCCTATGATCGTAAGAGAATGATCGTATGATCGTATGATCGTAAGAATCCTACGATCATCTGAGAGCGTAAGAGACTGAGACCCAGTGAGGATTCATAAAAACATAGCGGAGGGATGACCGTAAATCCCTCCTCCTTTGTTCTTCTAAGCTTTTTTTACAATCTTCTCCACGAATATTTGTTTATTTGTTTATTTGTTTATTTGTGATTATCACCAACAGAGAAATTCTCCACTAACAGGTGAAGTCAGGAAAATAAAATGCATCAACACACACAACGGTATGAGGGAACCGCACGAGTATGAACATTCATTCAGACTGAAAACAAAATCCACAGTTCGAAGTATAAATATGAGAATGAAGGTAAGAGTGAGAATACGTGTATAAGTAAATATGAAAGTAAAAATAAAGAAAAAAAACTTTGATATTAAAAAACTACAATAAAAACCACAATAAAAACCATCAGATGAGCTGAACAGCGAGTGTAACATGAGCAATGAGATGACTATGTGGATAAAACATGATGGATCAAACGAGCCCTAAAAACTCCAAAGCTGTCAGAGAAGATGTCTGCGCTCGCATTACTTGCCAAAAAGGCGTTCATGTGTTTTGGGATCCTGCAGAACATCCCAGTTCCTATCGTGCTCACGCGTGCTCGTGGTACATTGAACAGTGTGAGGGTGCGGGTCGATCGGGGTGGCACATGTAGATGGAATGAGTCGAGTAAGACTAGCGCATCGATTTTTCCTCGCACAATGTTTCTAAGAAAAATGATGTCGTGCTAAATTCTACGTTTTGCTAGGGTTGGCAATTTGAAGTGGGACAGAAGACTGTCATAAGAAAGTGAGGCTGTCTGTCCAGAAGTGCTATGAGATATGAGCCAGATGAGTAACTTGTGCTGCACCCGATCGACCCGCACCGTGTGGGACTTGGCCGCCCCCGCCCAGACCACGCTGCCGTACTCTAAAATGGAACGCACGTTAGCGTAGTAGGCAGCGAGCGCCGCTCCGCGGTTGAATTTTGACTCAAATTTTGCCTGATGTGTGTGCATATCGCACACACATCGCACGCATTGTTTCAAATGCCATGCTAGAGTGTTGTTGTCGTCTTTCTCTTCATCATTGCTAGCAGACGGATAAGAAGACCAGAAACACGATCCTTTTTCACATCTGCAACAGTAGTTATTACAATGTATTAATCATTACACAGTATTACACACTGCAACAGTATTACACTGTTGCATAATGATCTCATTAGTTCATAATAGCAACCTTACTCATATATTATCGGGAGCCTACGCTGTTGATCAGTCAAAGGGGTCGAGGTTTCTATGCAGCTGCTTTGTCGGTATAAATGCAACTTTCCACGCCTGTAACTATAGCGTGTAGATGACTGCTATTGCTGACACACAGTGTGAGATTGGGTTCGTAGTGGCAGACTGCAGCCAGGTCATCTGGCAGCCTGTCGCAAGGCTGCCTGATGATCTGAGCCATGCTGGTCAGCAATAAAATGATGCAGTTAAGTGCAGCCCAGCTATAGCAGAATTTGTTTTCCTGTGTTCAATGTTTGCATGTGTATACCTACCGTGCGACCACTATATACTTTCAGTGATCTTGCCGTGCTGTGTTATTGAATGACGAAGTCAATATATTGCAGTTGTACACCAATTCTACATAGATGATGTACTCGTGCTGTGTACTGTTTGACATGAATACCAGACTTCAATTTCTTTGTACCATTGACCCTATATTGCACTGAGCTTGTATTCACAAAACAACACTTTTCTGTTCTGCGATAGATAAAACAACGTATTTTGTTACTGGATATGGACATAGAGCGCAAAGTACAAACACTGCGAATTTGTATTATGTAGCTCTACCACAGGTTATGAATGCACGAACAGGGTGTGATTGAAAGTTAGAATGAAAGTTGCAACGGGATTCGGAGTCACCGTATCATCTGTACACCGACGCTTGGACGCTACATGAGCAATGAACATCACTAGTGTCTCTTCCGCCGTCCATTCCACTGCAAAACAAACTCGGTTCTATCAGGCCTAGCTTATGCATTGCTTTGAAGTAGGTTTACTCAACAGGAGGGAAGAAACAACGAACCATTTAACAAGTAGAGTGGCCAATAAGGAAAATGTGAAAGCTGCGATAAGACAAGCCGCATCCGATCTTAAGTTGCATTCATTTACCTGGCGTATCTTAATGTCTCTCAGACTCTAGACGATTACAAGTTCCGGTTCAGGGTTCAGGATAGCATCAGCGAAGCCACCTGAAGTCAGCCAGTCGGTCCTCAGCAGCGTCCCAAAAAGGACGTCCACCTTCCTTGTGCGAATATTCTGTCTAAAATTTACCATACACAAAATTGTTCCACACCATTCCCTCATTATGGGAGGGGGTCGTTGTCCTCACTGCAACTCTGATCAGTCAGACATTGGGATTTTCCGGTATCGATTGCGGGAAATCAAATTGTCAGTTCACTGTTGTTGAAAAAGAGTGTCAACATTCTACGACCGTCTTCTGCAATATGACCGACTGGCCTCACAAGCAGGTAAGGGGTGGCTTGATCAACGGCCGCAAATGATTTATGGCTACTCAACATGCATATTGCATAGTATCTCGTACGTAAGATATCAGAGGAATAAGGTGGCATAAGGAAGGCTCTCATGAAATGAGTTCAGTTATCAGCATAAAATCGGTTTTAATTCATTTTTAGTTTTTCTTTTTTGCTCATATACCTAAATTCAATTAATTTAGCTTACATTGTTTTGATAATGACAACTATCAAGATATCGAAAGATATCAAGAATCGAAAGAACGTCCAAAATAAGGACGAAAACACTTCGGTCATTTTTTTCGGTCAGGTCAAAGGTCAGGTCACCAGAGGTCACCAAAGGTAAAATGTTGACTATTTCAATATTTTGGAAACTGCCAACGGCTATCTCGGGAACAGTTAGAGCTACAGCGCCGCGGAAAAGCGCATTCGATAGCCCTTTAACACACCTTTCTGAATAATGCTCTCAGATTTGACCTCAGGTCAACAGTTTAGCCTCCAGAGGGCAAAAACTCCAAAAATAGCCGTTTAAACGAAAAGCGTTTTTTTTTCGGCAATAACTTTTGACTCAAAAGAGCCATGACATTACTTTTGCCAGCATCGTGAGACGCGTCGAATGAACTATAATTTGACCTTGAAAGGTCAATTTGAAAATTTGACCTCAGGTCAAGGTCATGACCTGACTGGAAAAGGTCATGTTGCATATCAGTCGATCTGCAACAACGAGCTGAACACATCTAAGGCATTTTCAGCGCTCTAGCACGCCTCTATCAGAAGTTATTAGCGAAAAACTGTTAGATTCTGTTCGTGACCTGAGATGACCTCTCACCTCAGGTACGGGGACCCGCAGTTGCTACTGTACAGCGACCCTGGACAAATTGTCCCAGCACCCTCACAGGGAACAACGATAAGCTGTCAGAGGGCACGCACAGAAAACCTCAGCCGCTCTTGTACAGGAACCGGCAGTCGATATCAATGTTATCGGTTGTTACTGGACAGGACAGACGGCTAGAGTTAGGGTTCGTGTACAGTAGCAACTGCGGGTCCCCGTACATAACGAGGGGTCACAGTTGCCATTTTCCGGTTCCATGTGTCAATTTTACCTACATCTCGATGTTTGACAGTGTCTAGAATACATCTGAGAGTCTCTCCCTACACATTAGATGCTGGAAAACACCGCACACAGGGGAGGGCTAACGCCGATGATGTACCTTGATGTTAAACGCCCTGCAATTTATTGGTTAGTTCAGTTATAATTTCTGACGAGTCGTCTACCCTTGTGGGATTGTAAATATCGGCAAATACGAGCTGCGAGCCTGGAAAAATGTAAATATTTTGGATACGGTGGATCGTCTGTGAAATCAATGTGTATCACCAGTTTTCTCAGAATTCAGCTACCAATTCTTGTGCTTTGTTCAAAGATATTTTTACGGTCGAGCATAGACAAAATGAACTATATGTGAACAGGTGAGGAATATCGGCATGTACGGCTAAAAAGAAGTGGAATGTATCAGTGGCAACAACTTTTTGTTTACAAAAGTTTTAGAGATTGAAAAAATTACCATGGATATGTACTTGTCTTTCAGGTCCGGCTAACATCAACGTCGCTTCCGAAGTACGCCAGCGATGTTACCATAGGTAACGTCAAAGAACTGGTGATTGAAGCAGACGCCATCGCATCTCTGGCCTTCCTCGAAGTCATCAAACTATTCACTATTCAGCATTGACAACTTGGTTCTGCTGTCTGGTTCCTTTGCACGCAACCAAGAATATGGACCGATAGATATGATCATCCACGACGTGAAAAGTCTTGATGTGCAAAAAGAATCGTTTTCCAACTGGGGAAATCATCAATCCAAGGTTTTCATCAACAACGTGGAATATTGTCGCATGCTCGACAAGGCTTTGACGTCCATGCACCTACGTTCCTTATCCATTCAGAAAGTAACCAGTCTGGACATTGAGCATGGCGCATTTCGCGAAAGTTCCATGGACGAACTCATGTTGGCGGAAATGAAATCTGTGTCGGTTTCGACTGGGGCGTTTACAGCTCACATCACTGTTAGAACAATGACAATGACCGACATTGATACTCTGATGGTGCGCTCCGGGGCGTTCGCTCCTGGGTCATCGATCCGGAAGTTTTTCATCAAACGTGTCCCGAAGCTACAAATTGCATCAGGTGGCATCAAGTCTGGCATAAACATGCTGACACTTAGAGACGTTTCCATGGAAACATGTGAGGCAAACACATTTGGAGGCTCGATCAAATCGCTGGCTCTGGTTTCGATGCACATCAACATGACTAAAGCAAACTGTGTTTCCGCCGATACCAGATGGACGAAACTATTAGTGAACGATTCCCACTTCGGACACATCCAGTCACTTTCTTTTTACGGGGACATCAAGCAGGTTCAAATTAAGCGCAGTGA